CGTGTTGTGAAGTTTTCAAGTTTTTGAGTAAAGATTTGATGGATTTTGGGATAAGGAGTGTCAAGAGCCTAAGCTTGGGGATGCCCCGGAAGGCATCCCCTCTTTCGTCTTCATCTATCGGTAACTTTACTTGAGGCTATATTTTTATTCACCACATGATATGTGTTTTGCTTGGAGCGTTGTGTATGATTTGAGTCTTTGCTTTTTAGTTTACCACAATCATCCTTGCTGTACACATCTTTTGGGAGAGACACACATGAATAGGAATTTATTAGAATACTCTATGTGATTCACTTATATCTTTTGAGCTAGACAATATTGCTCTAGTGCTTCACTTATATCTTTTTAGAGCACGGTGGTGGTTTTATTTTATAGAAATTATTGATCTCTCATGCTTCACTTATATTATTTTGAGAGTCTTTTAGAATAGCATGGTAATTTGCTTTGGTTATAAAATTAGTCCTAATATGATGGGCATCCAAGATGGGTATAGTAAAAACTTTCATATAAAGTGCATTGAATACCATGAGAAGTTTGATTCTTTATGGTTGTTTTGAGATATGAAGATGGTGATATTAGAGTCATGCTAGTAGAGTAGTTGTGAATTTGAGAGATACTTGTGTTAAAGTTTGTGATTCCCGTAGCATGCACGTATGGTGAACCGTTATGTGATGAAGTTGGAGCATGATTTATTTACTGATTGTCTTCCTTATGAGTGGCGGTCGGGGATGAGCGATGGTATTTTCCTACCAATATATCCCCCTAGGAGCATGCGCGTAGTACTTCGTTTCGATAACTAATAAATTTTTGCAATAAGTATGTGAGTTCTTTATGACTAATGTTGATTCCATGGATTATATGCACTCTCACCCTTCCACCATTGCTAGCCTCTCTAGTACCGTGCAACTTTCGCCGGTACCATACACCCACCATATACCTTCCTCAAAACAGCCACCATACCTACCTATTATGGCATTTCCATAGCCATTCCGAGATATATTACCATGCAAATTTCCACTGTTCCGTTTATTATGACACGCTCCATCATTGTCATATTGCTTAGCATGATCATGTAGTTGACATTGTATTTGTGGCAAAGCCACCGTTCATAAATTTTTCATACATGTCACTCTTGAATCATTGCACATCCCGATACACCACCGGAGGCATTCACATAGAGTCATTTTTGTTCTAAGTATTGAGTTGTAATTCTTGAGTTGTAAGTAAATAAAAGTGTGATGATCTTCATTATTAGAGCATTGTCCCAGTGAGGAAAGGATGATGGAGACTATGATTCCCCCACAAGTCGGGATGAGACTCCGGACGAAAAATAAATAAAATAAGAAAAAGAGAAAAAAAAGAGGCCATAAAAAAGAGAAAATGCCCAAATAAAAAATGAGAGAAAAAGAGAGAAGGGGCAATGCTACTATCCTTTTACCACACTTGTGCTTCAAAGTAGCACCATGATCTTCATGATAGAGAGTCTCCTATGTTGTCACTTTCATATACTAGTGGGAATTTTTCATTATAGAACTTGGTTTGTATATTCCTATGATGGGATTCCTCAAAAGTGCCCTAGGTCTTCGTGAGCAAGCAAGTTGGATGCACACCCACTTAGTTTTTTTGTTGAGCTTTCATACACTTATAGCTCTAGTGCGTCCGTTACATGGCAATCCCTACTCACTCACATTGATATCTATTGATGGGCATCTCCTAGCCCGTTGATATGCCTAGTTGATGTGAGACTATCTTCTCCTTTTTGTCTTCTCCACAACCACAATTCTATTCCACCTATAGTGCTATGTCCATGGCTCACACTCAGGTATTGCGTGAAGATTAAAAAAGTTTGAGAACATCAAAAGTATGAAACAATTGCTTGGTTTGTCATCGGGGTTGTGCATGATTAAATACTTTGTGTGATGAAGATAGAGCATAACCAGACTATATGATTTTGTAGGGATAACTTTCTTTGGCCATGTTATTTTGAGAATACATGATTGCTTTGTTAGTATGCTTGAAGTATTATAATTTTTATGTCAATATTAAACATTTGTCTTGAATCTTTCGGATCTGAACATTCATGCCACAATAAAGAAAATTACATTGATAAATATGCTAGGTAGCATTCCACATCAGAAATTCTGTTTTTATCATTTACCTACTCGAGGACGAGCAGGAATTAAGGTTGGGGATGCTTGATACGTCTCCAACGTATCTATAATTTTTGATTGTTCCATGCTATTATATTATCTGTTTTGGAACTTTAATGGGCTTTAATATGCTCTTTTATATTATTTTTGGGACTAACCTATTAACCGGAGGCCCAGTGCCAGTTTCTGTTTTTTTGCCTATTTTAGAGTTTTGCAGAAAATGAATACCAAACAGAGTCCATGGAATGAAACCTTCGTGATGATCTTTCTTGGACCGAAAGCAATCCAGAAGACTTGGAGTAGAAGTATAGAACATCACGAGGCAGGAGGGCGCGCCCAGGGGGGTAGGCGCGCCCCCACCCTGTGGGCCCCTCGTAGCTCCACCGACGTACTTCTTTCACCTATATATACTCTTATACCCTAGAAACATCAGGGGGAGCCACGAAACAACTTTTCCACCGCCGCAACCTTATGTACCCGTGAGATCCCATCTTGGGGCCTTTTCCGACGATCTGTCGGAGGGGGGATCAATCACAGAGGGCTTGTACATCAACACCATAGCCTCTCCGATGAAGCGTGAGTAGTTTACCACAGACCTTCGGGTCCATAGTTATTAGCTAGATGGCTTCTTCACTCTCTTTGATTCTCAATACAAAGTTCTCCTCGATGTTCTTGGAGATCTATTTGATGTAATACTTTTTGCGGTCTGTTTGCCGAGATCCGATGAATTGTGGATTTATGAACAAGATTATCTATGAATATTATTTGGTTATTCTCCGAATTCTTATATGCATGATTTGATATCTTTGCAAGTCTCTTTGAATTATCGGTTTAGTTTGGCCTACTAGATTGATCTTTCTTGCAATGGGAGAAGTGCTTACTTTGGGTTCAATCTTGCGGTGTCCTTTTCTAGTGACAGTAGGGGCAGCAAGGCACGTATTGTATTGTTGCCATCGAGGATAAAAATATGGGGTTTATATCATATTGCTTGAGTTTATCCCTCTACATCATGTCATCTTGCTTAATGCGTTACTCCGTTCTTATGAACTTAATACTCTAGATGCATGCTGGATAGCGGTCGATGTGTGGAGTAATAGTAGTAGATGCAGAATCGTTTCAGTCTACTTGACACGGACGTGATGCCTATATTCATGATCATTGCCTTAGATGTCTTCATAATTATGCGCTTTTCTATCAGTTGCTCGGCAGTAATATTTTCTCCCACCGTAATACATGCTATCTTGAGAGAAGCCACTAGTGAAATCTATGGCCCCCGAGTCTCCTTCCTATTATATTACATCTCTTTTACTTACATCGTATCTCGTTTACTATTTTGCAATCTTTACTTTCCAATCTATACAACAAAAATACCAAAAATATTTACTTTACTATGTTTATTAGATCTCACTTTTGCGAGTGGCTGTGAAGGGATTGACAATCCCTTTATCGCCTTGGTTGCAAGGTTCTTGATTGTTTGTGCATGTACCAGGTGACTTGTGCGTCGTCTCCTACTTGATTGATACCTTGGTTCTCAAAACTGAGGGAAATACTTACGCTACTTTGCTACATCATCCTTTCCTCTTCAAGGAAAACCAACACATGCTCAAGAGGTAGCAATGTATAAGTATACATATGCAACAATCAAACATTCATATATCTTCCCGTGTGGATGAGTTTGCACGAATGTGGCTGGCCGTCGAGGCCGGCCAGCTTCATCTAGTCCCGTGGTACCCCGCCAGCACTGAGAACACGATCCATCTAGATGCCCAACCACCTTGCCTTCAGAGGAGATGCATGGCCAGATCAAGTTGAGGCCATGGCAGAGAGGTGAGCTAGAGGACGCAAACAACCACATGGGGAGTAGGAAAGAGGTAGCGAGTCACCTGTAGCTATAGGCACCCGCATAGAGGACTGGGAGGTGGGATAGCGCCAAATCTTCGCCGGCGGCCGTCGCGGGGAGGGCAGTCAGCCCCCTCTCGTGTTTTTCGGTGAAGAGGAGGTGCGAGAGCATGAGGGAATTAGGATGGAGGGAGGGAGGGGGCGCGACGCACGGCTCAATTCTGCCGGCGAGGGATGGAACCCTACCACCGGCGAGGAGTAAAACCCTAGCGAACCGGATAAAAGTCAAACCGAAAATACCACTGAAATCTGTACCGAGAATACCCTCAAAATATTTGAGAGGGAAAATCTGATCAGTTTAAAATATATTTTTCTCCTGAAAATGCCCCTTAGACTCTGTTATAATACACGTGACGTCAGCGTATTGCATTGGATCTGGACTGTCGAATCCGCTCCGATAGACGGTCCATATCGACCGGATGCACTGTAAAAGGAATCTTCGAACCACTACTATTTGGTCTACGTTCTCCAAGAAAAACGAAATTCTGGAGGAGAAACTCCTCACCGTAGTAGCACAGCGCGCGAGTACTGGCCCGATATTTCCAACTACGACAGCTACGGGTGGAGTACGGACGAGGAAACAACAGTGTATACACTTCTTGGTACGTGTCCCGTAGAGTAAATAAACACATAAATTGAAGAAAAAAAGAAAGTTTGGAAAGCTAGGAGTACCACAAGACCGGGAGCTGAATCAGGTGCCTGGTCCAAGGAACTGGACCGCGACACATTCGAGCCACCGCACTGAACCACTCAGCACTCGCCCACGATCGATGCGGCCCCGGCGACCGGTCCGGCAGCTTGACCTGAACGGTGTCCGCGAGCGCATCGAACGAAAGCTACATCAAGAAGCACGACCCAGACCAGCGGAGTCTTCTTTCTCTAGGCCAATGAATCTCGGGTCTTGATAAATTAAGCAGGGAGTTCGGGCGGTCTTCTTCCCATACGCCGGCCATGCAAGTGCCGGAGCAGACCACCGGAACCGTGAACCTGCCGGTGGGCCCGTGCTGCGCCTGCGCTTCGTCGCCGCCCACCTCCCCGCCGCCGCGCCACGGGAGGCTCATCACCGTGCTGAGCATCGACGGCGGCGGCGTGCGAGGGATCATCCCCGGCACCATCCTCGCTTTCCTCGAACAAAAGCTTCAGGTAACCTTTTTCATACTTGCAGAGTATCATCCTGCCTGCTCTTGCATGTGTCCAGTTTTTCATATAGCATCACGCTTGTATGTTGGTGTAACGAGTTGTTCGGGGTGCGTAGGAGTTTGATGGGCCAGACGCGAGGATTGCGGATTACTTCGACGTGGTCGCCGGGACGAGCACCGGAGGCCTGGTGGCCGCTATGCTCACCGCGCCCAACGACCAGGGCCGCCCGCTCTTCGCCGCCAAGGACGTCAACAAGTTCTACCTCGAGCACTGCGCGAATATCTTCCCTGCCGTCTGGTGAGGATTATATACTGTAGTCTCACACGAAATCGCTCTCAAATGGGCAATATTATTACAGTCTGCTAACTCTCAGTCGATTGAGATTTCGTTAAGTCTCAATCGATGCTATATCCATGAGATCTAATATTAAGATCCGTGCAAAAATTTCTTTCAGTTTTTTCTTTTTTCTCTCTTGCATGTTATGCCACTTGACTGGAACTTGGTTAAATCTAAGTTGACTGAGACCTAGCCGCATCCATATTATTATGCCATCAGCATAAACTCAGCGGGAGTACCGCAGCAGCAAAAACTCGTTGCCCTTCGGCTAAGCCATGATGCACTGCTAAAGCTAGACTGAGAATGATGTTAATAGCTTGCTATTTCCAGCTATGACGAGAGTACTTATGAGCTATACACAATCTGTTGTGCAGCAAAGGACCACTGGGCTTGTTCAAGAGCATGATGGGACCCAAGTACAACGGCCAGCACCTGCACTCGGTCGTGAAGGAGCTGCTCGGCAACACGCGAGTCAGTCAGACACTCAAGAGCATCGTCATCCCCACTTTCGACATCAAGCTCCTTCAGCCTACGATCTTCTCGACCTACGATGTACGTACGCAGAAGAACGTAAACACATGCATCTGTATACACAACATGAAACAAAATATTTACGTGCAGGCCATGAAGGATGCCTCCAAGAATGCCCTTCTGTCGGACGTCTGCATCAGCACATCTGCCGCGCCGACCTACCTCCCCGGCCACCATTTCGAGACCAAGGACAAAGACGGCAACACCCGGGCTTTCAACCTCATTGACGGAGGCGTCGCCGCTAACAATCCGGTACGCTGCCCAAAATAGGTTTAAGATGTATACCAATTGAGTTATGTGATGTTGCTACATTCCTCACTAACTTACATGGATGTGCGCAGACCCTTGTGGCGATGACCCATGTAAGCAAGCAGATCATGATGAAAAACATGAACTTCTTTCCCGTCAAGCCGGCGGAGTATGGCAAGTTCATGGTCCTTTCGCTGGGCACCGGCACCGCCAAGGTCGAAGAGAGGTTCGATGCTGCCATGTGCAGCAAGTGGGGCCTTCTCGGGTGGCTCTACAAGGGGGGCACCACGCCGATTATCGACAGCTTCAGCCAAGCCAGCGTTGATCTCGTCGATATCCAGGCATCCGTGCTCTTCCAGGCGCTGCACTGTGACTGCGACAGGCGCTACCTCCGGATCCAGGACGATGAGCTCACAGGCGAAACGGCCTCCGTCGACGTGTCCACGACGGAGAACCTCAAAAGGCTCATCGATGTCGGCAAGGCATTGCTGAAGAGGCAGGTGTGCAAGGTGAATATTGAGACAGGCAAGAACGAGCCTGACCTAGAGAGGGGCACCAACGAGGAGGAACTGACCCATTTTGCACGCAAGCTGTCGGAAGAGCACAAAGCTAGATTGTCTTGCGGTGGTGGGTCTCGAAACTTAGATATTACTCTATGAATATCTGTTCGAATTTGATGACCTACGCCATCACCCATCAAAGCCCTAATGCTTTTATGTTAGTATATCTGTAGATATAGTTCTTGTGTAGACAAACAATGATTTCTGTCATATTTGTTGTATGTGCTTTAAATAAAGACGTTGACTCTCGTTATACGCCCCTCTCTTCCTGATGCATACAACGCATCGTTTTAAACTGGGCGTGCCATGTCTCTTAACGATGAACCTCTTCTAAACCGCTATAGCGCATTATTTAAAATGTTCGTTCATGTATTTGGATCAAAGCCCCTTAGCATAGGATCTTCGTATAGCGCACTATTTAAAATCATGCTAGAACGCATTGCACCACGGAAGGCCCGAGGCCGTGGTGTAACTGCTGGCTCTTGCACGTGTATGCGTTTCAGAGTCTTTCTCGCCGTTCTCTCAACAATCGTTACTTTTTTTTAGAGAAAAGGCTTAAGTCCGACTTTATAAATAAAGCCACAAGGCAGCGTCATAAGCCCAAACATCAATCAGGGCGATACACCCAACATCCACAGCACCAGAAAGTATTCCGCAGGCACACGAAAGTACTAGGGATACATGGCAACCTGCCAAACACGGAACGCAGGCCGGAAGGATAACGAAACAGCCATCAACAGGAAAGACGAGACTGCATCAAGCAGGGTTAGACATCAGGAGCCTGCCCGGAGATGGAGGACGCCGAGGCCCGAATTTTAGAGATTAGCAGGTCCAGAGCTCCCCGATCGTCATCTTTAGTCAATGATCTCCACTGCTGCAAGAATATACATGATTTGAAAAGAACGTCAGCAGCCTTCGAAGGAAAGACATGTTCAATAGTAAATTTGTTCCTAATCGTCCAAAGGGACCAGCAAATCGCACCCAAGCCAACCCAGAAAACCCTCTTAGTGACCCCAACCAACGAGTTGGCTAGGTTTCTCATCTCTTGAAGTAACCTGAAGCCACGACCGGACGCAGCACCACACTAACTTAGCCAATACACAGTGAAAGAAGATGTGCTCCGTGTTTTCCACAGCACCGCAAAGAGCACAAAATTCCGAGCCCGGACCATTACGCTTACGGATTTGGTCAGCAGCGGGGAGCCGACCTCTAAAGGCTTGCCAGAGGAAGATTTTAACCTTAGGAGGAACTTTGGACCTCCAAATGCAAGAGAACCTATTGGAAGGGACACCTCCGATGAGCCTCGCGTACAAAGACTTAACCGAAAACCGACCAGAGGCAGAATGAGGCCAGACAACAGAGTCCGGCGTCTCCGAGAGCAGGGGGAAGAAGGCAAAAAGGCTTTGCCAGTCTTCCAACTCTTCAGGAGTCAGGGAGCGGTGAAAGGCCAAATCCCAATTTTTAGATGCCACCTCCGCGATGGAGATGTCAGGGTTAGGACAGAACGAAAACAACACCGGGAAACTACGTGCCAAAGGAGCATCACCACACCACCAGTCGCGCCAAAAACGTACTGAGGTACCATCACCCACAATAAACTTAGCATGATCCAGGAAGAGAGGCCTGACTTTAATAAGGTCCTTCCAGAACTGAGATCCACGCCGGGCACCAGCAAACATAGGGCTGGAGTGAGGAAAGTATTTAGCCTTAAGAATGGAATACCAAAGAGAGTCGGCCTCACTGGTCATGATTTTCCACCGCCATTTAATTAGCAGACACTTGTTCATGACATGCGTATTAATAATGCCTAACCCTCCAAGGGTTTTAGGCCTACACATAAGCTTCCATTTAACCAGCCTGTATTTCCGTTTATTATCAGCAGCGTTCCAATAGAAAGCACCCCTGTGTTTGTCAAAACCAGCATGGATGCCAACCGAGAGGAGATAGAAGCCCATAAGGAACATTGGGAGGGAGGAGAGACAAGCATTCATGAGAGAAACTTTGCCAGCATTGGTACTGTATCTACCACGCCAGGGAAGAACCCTATTTCCCACCTTAGACACAACCGGAGCAAAGTCCTTAGCATGAAGCACCACAGGAGAGATAGGAAGACCCAAATATTTGAAAGGGAAAGATCCTAGGGAACAATTTAGCAACCTAGCAACTCTCAAGGCCTCTGAATCATCGACGCTAGTAACCAGAACCTCACTTTTGGAACAGTTGATTTTCAGGCCCAAGACAGCCTCAAAGCAAAGCAGGATGAACTTAAGGTGGGCAATGCAGGCATCATTCAATCCAACCATAATGATGGTATCATCAGCGTATTGCAGGCGAGTAATACCGTCCGGGACTAGGTGAGAAGCCACAGGCAAGATATGACCATGCTGAGCTGCCCTAAGAAGAATGCGGGAAAAGGCATCAGCCACAAAATTGAAAAGGACAGGGGAGGCAGGATCCCCTTGACGCAAGCCTCGGCCGTTAACGAAGAAATTACGAATATGACCATTCACAGAGACCGTGGTATGACCGCCCGAGACCAACTGCATAATGCAATGCACATAAGCCCCGTCGAAGCCTTTCGCAAGAAGGACCTGCCTTAGAAAAGGCCAGCTAACCGAATCGTAGGCTTTCTCAAAATCAAGTTTTAAAATGATCGCTTTGGAGTTACGAGACCGCAGATCATGAACAATTTCATGAAGACAGAGGACCCCATCTAGAATGTAGCGCCCTTTGATGAAAGCAGACTGATACGGGCTGATGACTCTACGGGGGTTAGGTGATTAGCAAAACCCTTAGCAGGTAATTTAGCAAAGTTATTAACTAAAGCAATAGGCCTAAACTAAGAGATCAATTCGGCACCTTTAACTTTAGGGATCAGGGAGATCACCGCATAGTTAAGGCGAGAAATATCAACAGTGCCTAGGCAAAACCCTTGTATAACATTACAAACTAACTGCCTCAACTGAGGCCAAAACTTCCGAAAGAAAGGAATAGAGAAGCCATCCGGCCCAGAAGCAGCGTTCGGGTTAGCAGAGTTCACCACGTCCCAGATCTCCTTATCAGAAAGGGGAATCATCAACGCAGTGTTCTCCTCGGCCGAAATCCTCGAACTATGGTCCCATAGGGTAGGAGAGATGGACAATCCCGAAGGAGGTTTGGCCCCTAACAACGAGGAGAAGAACTCAACCACATGAGATAGGATTAACGATTGGTCCGAAGTGCGCACACCATTAATGATCAGGCTATTAATACCACACCGCCTCCGCCTACCGTTAGCAATGGCAAAGAAGTAAGCCGTGGGCTGACGCCAGTATATTTCCGCCTGATGATGCAACTGCATGAGGGCAGCCTCAAGGTTATAGCGCAGAGACCACCCTTCGTCAGAGAGCCCAAAGGAATCAGCAACAAGGTCAAGGGACAAGATTTGAGCTTCAAGGAGGTCTTTCGAGCGTCGCTCCTCAGCTACGTGGTTACGGGACCACTGATGGAGTCATGTACCTAGGGTAGGGTCACAGACCTGATCTAAGTACCCTGCCCAAGGACACCCTTAGAAGAGGTCACCTTCCAGTCGACCAACGAGGGACTCACTCGACTGACTTGAAGGACTCGACCACGAAGACTCACTCGACTACCAGGAGGTCAAAAGGCACTCTGCACTGCAACGGCCTGTAGTTAAGTAGACTTTATGGTAGTTAAGACACTTTATGTGGGACGTTACCAGTAACGCCCCGGACTTAATGTCCCTTAAACCCTTCATTACATGGACTGGCTGGGGTCCTGGCGCACTCTATATAAGCCGCCCCCCTCCACAGGCAGAAAGGTTCGGCACCCTGTAACTCATATACACACAATCCACTCGACCGCCTTCGGGCTCCGAGACGTAGGGCTTTTACTTCCTCCGAGAAGGGCCTGAACTCGTACATCTCTTGTGTTTACAACTTCTCCATAGCTAGAACCTTGCCTCTCCATACCTACCCCCCACTCTACTGTCAGACTTAGAACCACGACAGTTGGCGCCCACCTTGGGGCAGGTGTTTTTAGCAATTTTGTGGAGAAGTTGCGATTCTTCCGAGTACTTTCATCATGGTGGCTGCTGGAGTTTTGCTCAAGGGTCGAGAGATCCGTCTCGGCGCTCTCACCTTCATCGCCGACGACTCCGCCTGGCTCCAGGAGGCTCCACTCGACGTTGATGCGCTCCCCGTCCGCGGTGCGACGCATTTTCGCGCATGTGTCCGCGGCGTTCTGCTGCGGCAACCGTCAACCCCGTATCGGTCGACATCCCCATCGACCACCCTCTCGGTCTCCCGCCAGCGCAAGCGCTCGGGCCGGTCGAGGATTTAGCGGTGGGTGAGGCACGCGGTGGCTCGCCAGACGGCCACCACCCAAGTTGCGGCAATCGAGCCCGACGAATCTCTCTACGGCCTGTTCGATCTGTCGACTGGCTCCGTAGAGACCGCATCCGAGTGCGATAGCAGTGATCCAGCGGCGGAAATCCTGATGGTCGACGGGCCCCGCAGTCCCCCTGGCTTCGCCCGTGATGGTGGAGCAGGCAACGGAGGCGACCCCGCGCGAGACCACGAAGAGTACCAGCCCGAGCCACTCGACTCTCTACAAAGAGAAGAACTTCGCCGCAGGAACGTGGATGTCCTGCGTACTCCCATCGCAGGAGAAACCCCCGAGGCTCGCGCCTTGGAGGAGGCACGTTTGGCCAATTTGGCCGAACGCACTCGACTGGAGAATCTTCAGCGAGCACTCGACGAGCGCGCGCGGCAACGAGTTCCTGACACCGGTCGACGTCAACTCTTCCCGCCGACTCAGGTATATCGAACCCCAATCCAGAATTTGGCAGCTGCGACCCATATAGCAGAGTCCATTCAGCCCTCTCAGTCTGAAGCTGGCAGAGACTTGATGCAGATCAGGGATCTGCTCCGGGCAGCAGGAGATCAGAATTCGGCCGTGTCGCAGTCGCGCAACAGAATTCACAGTCGATCCGTCGCTGCAAATACGGTTCAGTCGGCTCACAGTCCCAGATCGCCTCCGCGGCGTGAAGGGCGCGAGAATCGGCGAGACCAATATGGTGACCGACTCGACCGAGATGA